CCTCAACCGTCTAATAACAACAATTGATAGCGCACCGTGATGGTGAATCACACAGTATGCGTGACTACATTGCAAACTTCACCGATAAAGCCCACTGTGAGCCATACAAAGGAACAGTCCCATAGCATGACATTAGTTACCATCTAGTGTCCATTCAAAAGTGTAATTATTGCAGTTTGAAGATCTATAGACACATATAACAATTGACCTGCTGCTGCTGCTGGATTCAACACAGAACTTGGCACCAAGGTGCAGCAGTTCGAGTTGCCACGTTCCAAAGAACACACAAAGGTAGACAAGAAAATGAGAGAAGAGAATCAATAGAATTTAGATAAGTATAAGAGTGAAACAGAATGAGTAATGGTAGAAAAGAATATGAAAGATTACAGAGACTGAATACATCTGCGCCACTGACAACGATTTTGAGCCATGTCACCTATTGTCTCCAGCCATTGATTCTTAGAGTCCCGAGGGCCCCCAACAATTGACCGCTTCACTTATTGGGAAGTTGCATCAGCCAATGCCGACGGGTTGATTTCTGACGAAATCTCAGCACAGATACAGAGAGCTAGTTTCGCATATGCCAGTTTACGCCGTCTCTGGTTTAGTAGATGTGATATCCTATCGGCTATCGACCAAAAGGTGTGTGTACTGCTCAGCTGTCCGATCCGTCCTCCTTTATGGCTGTGAGACCTGGCCATTGAGAGTGGAAGACATGAAAAGGCCGGCTAGCTATCTTTGATCATAGATGCCTCTGTTCTATCTCCCGTATGAAGTGGTATAGTAGGGTCAGAAATATTGAGTTTAGGCGTCGAGTGTTAGGTCGGTGGGAGGAGAAATCAATCGATAAGGCTGTGAAGTTACATCGACTGAGATGGTTAGAACATGTGTTATGTATGCCTAGTCATTGCCTTCCTCGACAATAGGCAATGTTACCTCACATAGGATCAGGCTACAAAAGAGCTAGGGGTGGTCAAACATGGTACCAGTCAATGAAATCCACAACAGTTAGTTTAAGCCAACCAAGTAGGAAGGTGTAGACTTCCTGGTTGGTGTTCTCGGGACGGTAAACACCAATAGCTGGAGACAATCGGTGATATGGCTCAAAATAGTTCTCAGTGACTGGCGCAGATGACTTATAACATCCAATAAAACTGTATTGTTCTTCGCTATTAATGTCCCTTTTGTCTCATATCCCTGTCTACTGTCTCTATTATGCTTTTTTCCTTGCTTTGTGTATTACATGGAGTGTGGCGACTCAAACTACTGAACATGGGTGCAAAGTTCTATGTCGAAAACAAACAGACAGACATATTTTCTATTTTATTTTCTATCTTAACGTTTGTCTCCAAGCCAAATAATACTTATATTACATAATTATCTAAACTTTATAAATCTAATGTACACACACACAAACAAAATTGTATACAAATGCGATTGTACAGCTCAGTGAATGAATTCGCCAAAGAGAGTCTCTTCGCTGAACGCCTTCTTTTCTTTTATAAGACAGACATATCTTTTATCTTGTATGTGCTTGGATGAAAGACAATGCAATCAAACCTTGTGTTTAAGTTAATGTTTATAGATAAGTAAAAAACACAGTTTTTTGTTCAGCGAAGAAGAAATTTCTTTTCAACGACTTCATTTTCAAGCTGTACAGTCGTATTTATATTACAGAAAAGGTTATTAAGTGGCACTAAATAATTGCTCAGTCAATATACATATATGTGATAAGAATAACGATTATTAAAATGTTATAAGGGGTAGAGTTGAAGTGGATAAATTACAAAATTATTAAAGATTGTTTTATAAGTGAATTGAAAAATGTTTTAAAAGTGTCAAGTGTTGTCTAAAAATTTTAAAAAAATAGGAGTACGATTACGATAAGAATAAAGATATGAAGTGAAGTGGAAAGAATTCAAGTGGTAAAATAAAATAAAGTAAAAAGTAGAAAGAACATTACTATGACCAAGGTAAAGAAAGGGGTTTGACAAAACGTTTCTGAACACATAATTTAGGTTTCTGTTCATGTATAGCAAAAGCTTCGGCTATGCACAAGTGAAGAAAACGTAAACTTTTGGATCGATTCGATTTTGCCATGTAGATAACTTTGAAAGATGAATCACGTGGGGCTAAATGACCTAACTCTAACAGGTGATCACAAATAGACGACTTCGCAGTTCTATGTTCGCCTTTCATTAACCAGACTGGATAGTGTTAAGCTACACGTTTTCGGAGAGTACGCTTACAACGTCCAATATAAACAACTTCACAAGAGCAGGTAAAAGGGTAAATACACATAGATGTGGTCAAAAGCGGTAATCTATCCTTGACGCATTGTCTAATCATATTTCGACTGGTAAAAACTTGTTGCAAGTAAGCTGCAAGAAAAGTGCGTTTAATAAATTTAGATAAACGATTTTTAATCAATTCCGAAATGGTGCCACCTTTGAATGCCAGACTCATAAACAGTTTTTTTCTTTGGCACTGTGATTTGTCTAGGGGCGGATTCTTTCTTGATGTTACGTTCGACACACCTTGTAGGATAACCATTTTTAAGATTTGATCGAAGGTTATCTAGTTCACTATCTATTGTCTCTGCAGAGCAGATTTTATGAATTCTGGAGCATAAGGAATGAATAAGATTTCTCTTTCTCCCTAACGGTACCCGACTGTTGAAGTTAGTGTACTGCCCAGTGAATGTTAGCTTTCGGTAAATCGACACTGGGCAGTACACTAAGTTCAACAGTTGGGTACCGTTAGGGAGAAAGAGAAATATTATTCATTCCTTATGCTCCGGAATTCGTAAAATCTGCTCTGTTTGGAGGGTGTCATCATGAGCTGACTTCAGTTAGAGAACCATTGGAAAACCAGCCAGGGTGTACTGGACAGCTGTTTTGTCAGCCTAGTTTGGGACTCCGCTTCAGCGGACATATTTGAGTTTTAAATTTCACATAACTTTGTCAATGATGATATTTGTATTCTTTAGGCTGAAAAATGACTAAAAAGTATAAGCCTTCTTAAAATAAAATCAGAAAGGCAGAGTAAATGGAAGTCTTTCATATAAAGAAATAGTTACAGTATGTAAAACTGAAACATCACATATTCTTAGAACACTATCAGAAACGCCATAAACTCCCATACTTACATGGGCATTAAGCTCTAAATGAAACGCTTTTTCACCGTCATAGAACGCCGTATGAACTTATGCCTACAGATTATGTGACCCTGTGGCTTAAATTACTAAAATGGACTATAGTGTAACAACAGAAGGCAAGACACGAAGGTCAAGGTATATTTTCAAGTGATCAAACCGCTGTTGATATCTATACGGTTTATATTCTATAACCAATCACTGTGTGTGATTTTAGTTTACACTAAACGAAATGGAATAGAATGTTCAAATATATATAGCATTCGGTTGCTAATGCGGTACTGAACTGTGGAAATTTGTGGGAATAATACTCTGTTGGAACACATTACCTGTATCACACCACAGCAAGGGTCCTTGAAGTTTTACAATTAGTTCTAAAACCATTAAGACGATTCAAACTTCATGTTTTGTGTGTAGCAGATTATTACAAACGTGAAACGTGCCAGTAAATAAAGCCAACTTAAGCTTAGGCACTTTTCACCATAAAACAGACGTAATAAACAGAACTGTTATTAAATTAAACAACGAAGGTATGAGAAGGTAGGACAGTTAGTCAAACAGTTGTGTATGTGAACGGTAGACACTAGCATATAAACGATAACTAAAATAAATATCAGCGTTTACCACTCATAAAGGTAGTTATTCTTCCAGTCTTTTTTAATAGATGTTAAAAGTCAGTTAAGAAGAATCCGCGTTTTAACGTACTTTTTAAAAAATAAAGACTTAAACCAAATATACGGTCAAATGATGTATTCAACAAAAATGCTTGATTTTTACGCTATAAAAAGCCTAAGATTGGACACACAAAGAGGTAAACAGTATGATAACACTGGCAAAATCATCCTGAAGCGCACTCTGAGGAAGCACATAAATTATCTCACTACTCACTTTTCCTATGGAGGGTTTACAGTTTATTAATATTATTCCCGTTAGCATACAAAACTATTCTCAAACTTATCATTCTATCTTAACATACCATTATCGATACTTTTTGAGTGCAAAAATATAAATTATGTATTGTTAACTCAGAAACAGTTTAATTTGTAGCAGTTAGAAGCTGATTTATCGAGTCAAAGTGAAAAGACTAACTAAAAATTCGAAAACAAATAGGTTCTCTTACTATGCTACAATTGTAAATATAGCAGTTATAAAAATACGGAAGTCATTAACTCGCTTAACTATTACTCTCTAGACTTTCAGTGTGCTGGAAATACATCAGAAGTTTTGTTGATAAAATCTGGATATCTCACCAGCTGGAAAATGCATACAGCAAAATCGGGTTTATAAAAATAGAAGTGGAAAATTACTCCCAAAACAGACCAAAGCACAGAGCTAGAAACTTATGTATCCGATGTCCTTTCACGTTATTCCACTTTTCTACACTTCAGCTCTTGTTCTTTCTTTTTCTTTAAGTTCTGAACGAGTCAAATACCTATCAATTCCCAATTTTCCTATCTTGTTACACTTATCCTACGTTTTCCGTATTCTTTCCAACGTCACCCACATTAGCACAAGAAACGCATCACTCTTACTGACTCTTCTTGCTTTCTAAATGGAATGCATTCCTTGTTTTTTCTCCTTTTACCCATGCTAACTCCAATGAATTCGATGTCCTGTGGTATCTGTGGTGTTTTTCATTCATTTCTAAAATTACACAATGCTATCCGATTTGGATTAGCTGCTAACTGAAGTATTAGGATGTACTCTGTACAAAAAAGAAATTTATGATAATCACCTTGATACCACATAAAGGATTGTCTCGATAAATACACATATGATTTTGCCCTCAAAAACATAAATAAACTGTATCCTTCGTAAAAGAAGAGATTCGAAATCAATAACTCACGCATTCATGTGACTAGTTTCTGAGATATTAAACCACAATTTGAAATGTGCGGGTTGAGAGTTCAAAGAAGTTTAGGTCATTTACACAAATCAAGTTTCACCTATCCGTGGTCATTTACATATAAAGTTGAATGAGGCAATATTCCAAAGTAAGCAAGAATAGCAAAAAGAAAAAGCTGCCGTTTTTCTGAAGTCTTACTGGAAGCGAAAAACCTACTAAGATACTTCATTAATTTAAATTTTGGTACTTCGAAAAAAATATCTGAGCTTCACTCTTAAGATATTTATTATTGTCAGAAGGGCCGTAGCTCAAAAAAATTCCTGTCACCAGGAGCCACATCCTTATTCCTACTTAAATAGTTTTAATGAGGAGAGTGATAATTCATTTTCCAGTCATCATCAAAGTGAATTAGTTGATTGCGAAACAAAGTTGTTTCAACCTCTTGCTCTGAAAAGAAGAAGACAGAATAATTTCATGGCCATTCGCTGAATTTCAACGCATCTCAATTTAAGCTGATGCTGGCTGTAGTATAATAAAGATAAAAGGACAGCTGAAGCAGTTCTGAAATGTGCTATACTGTCCACCACGTGATTCATGAAAACACCCGCATTTTGGAATACTTAGATTTACTTTAGAGACAAGAGGTGACTCTAATTTGAAAGCTTTTGTTTCAAATGCCATATGAGAGGAAAAATTATCATTTTTGAAGCAGGTAGACTTTGTGAATGCTAAAAGTATTTGATAACAACGAGCTACCGCCGAATGAAGTGGGATATCATTTTTAAGTCATAAATTGAGATAAATCCCATGCTATCATGCTCTTTAAACTTGAGGAAACTGTTTTCCCATGTTATCAAATTTTTTATTACTTGTATATTTCACCTTCCCACTTTTCTATATCGGGGAGCTGCAGACATTCCTTCAAGCAGACTAAAAATTAATAACAGACTTTTGTCCTATCATAAGGGTGTCGCTTACTTGTACCCTCCCTTTTGAGTAGTATAGGCTCTCTCCCTTATTGAAGGCTTGGAGCAACTAATCATTTTTCAGCAGCCTAGGAACCCCTGTGTAAAGGTCCAGAGAATGCCTTCCACTTAGTCTACCCGTGCACTACTCAAACCAACAGTTAAACGCCTCCCACGTTTCAATTCAACCAAACTTAACTTATGACCTGTCTAACTCCACTTCAATTTTTATTTCATGGGCAACCCAAGAGGAATGCATAATTAGTTGTTCCTTCAGGTAATTCTTGGTCAATAGCAACAGCAACAACAACAATCAGCATAAATGTGAGAAATTTGAATGAAGCAACCTTTTTTACCTACCTACCCGGGAAGCATCGTTTTAACTACAGGTGGAACTGACGAGAATATCAAAGCGATGATAGCAAAAGCAAGGCAAGCTTTCATTTCTCTCAAGTCTGTATGGAGGTCAACTGCACTCAGCATGAAAAACAAGATGCGGATTTTCAAGTCTAATGTGAAGTCAGAGCTACTACACCAACCGGAGACTTCGAGCGTCACGAAGGCCACTTTGAACAAACTACAGACAACTTCTCTCAACACTACTCAAGATCAAATGGCTGGCCAGAAAATATCAGCAACAGGGATCTCTGGCAATGAGCGAACCAAGCCAGCAGGAGCCGATTGTGCAACAAATATGTAGGGAGATATGTAGGTGGATCGTGGCCATACTCTGAGAAAACAAACCATCAAGTGGGTGACATCACACGCCTGGCCATTGCTCGAGTGAAAGCCGAATGGGAGGCGGTGAGCTGGTCACCAGTGCGAGGATGACATGGCGGGGGGTCATGCAGAGAGCAGATGAAAGAATATGGGCAGATGTGGAGCCAAATGAAAACGTTGGCAGAGAACCTACACAAAGGAGACATGCTGCTGAAGCTGTATGTTCCTCTAGGAACTAAAGGAAACAATAGTAATATAATAACAAATTCATGGTCCTTAATTTAAACAACATTTCGATTTACTAGTACGTATAACTTAAATACTGAGGACGAATATTTGCTTCTGAATATGCGTTATCAGAAGCCAACACTGAAAAATCGGGTGTAACAGGGCCACCGAAAATTTAACAGACATTAGATTTGTCAAGCCCAAATAGGTCCAATCATAACTTAACTGTCTGTAATCCACAAATCCATGATAAAAACAAAACAGATATTGATTTTGAGGGCGACATCACGTTACAATACTGTATGACGGATCGAGTTACTGAAATATCATACCAGCATTTATCAGCCGGTTGCCGATACTCTTATGGCCACTTGTACACAACGACTTCTGGGAAGCAAGTTATTTAAGCTGCTTGAACGATTTCTAGCTCATTTTCTTGTAAGTCTCAACTAGAGAAGGGGCTAACGACTCTTCCGCTAACGTCTGCCCTGCTAAACTCACGCTTAACTCGCACGACCTGCCGACTTGGCCTGGCCAACCTAACAAGCTGTCTCAAAGCACTACCAGAGCTTCAAGTGCTATTTTTTGGCAGCATCTTCTTAACTCAACCAAATAAACCAAACTTGTCTGTCTGCTACACGATTACTGTGAAGCCAAATAATATAAAGATTCGAGGTAAGGTAGAAAACCTTAAACTCACACCTTGTCAGTCATTCTGCTCTTATTCCACTGAGCAAACATCCGAATTCTACTGCCTTCACCATCGTTTAACTATACTTACCAGAGAGTGGTAACAAGAGAATTGATTTTCACCGTATTCTGCCATTACGGAAGCCTCAGCCGCCGAAGATATTTAGCCGGTGGAATCACTGTCACCTCTCGTACCTCTTCTGAGATACTCAACACATATTCTGTGCCCTGTTACGTTTGCGTACATCCTCCCACACCGATCTGAAAGTAAATTGTCTGAACTGCGTAGGGCATAGCCCAGTGCCTGTCTCCAGGGGAATCCAACGTGACCCAATTTACAAGAACGAGGGGAAACCATGGAGACATCAAAAAATCAAGTTCGTCGAGACGTTTCCTGGAGGTGATGACTACCGGGTCTACAGTCCTGTTTTTTGACAAACCAACACGGCCTTCGAATGCTTTCTTTGGAAGCGATGGGAGTGTCGAAACCATATTATGAGAATATTGGAAAACACCTATGCCCATGATTCTGCCCACTCTATAGCCCCAACCCAAGTTTCCCTCACTGTTTCAGGGAAATACACAAACAGCTCTGAAAAGGCAGTCGGCAACCTTATGCAAGATACTTTTGGTTGAAGTCAATTGAAAGCGAGCTCTAATCTGCGCAAGCCTAACTGGCTCACCAAACCAGGGCTTACACCAGTGTTCTGGTCAGCCCTAATATCGCCAGCTTCCGAAAGACAGACTGTCCTACTATCACAGACCGGTACTCCCTTAGTCCTCTTCACTCTCTCTTGTCTAACCAAACCATCTTTGCTAGTCAGCAACCGTTTCGCGAGCTCGAGTGGCCACCGGTTCCTATCAGTAAAGTCGAATAATACGATAATTAATGATAATATTTTCTTCACATAAATTAAGCAGTTACATGATTGACATACCGTTTTCACATGCATGATCATATTTGACATGCACAATTAAGTCTCCAACCCGTACATTTCTACGTATATCCATCCATTTGTGTCACTGTTGTAGTCAGAAGACATATTACTTGGACCAACATTTCCAAAAAACAGTTTGCTTGTCCCCACCTTTGGAAGGACATACCACCAACAGCAGTTACACTAATGCCTACCAAGTTGTTCCTTGTTAACAGCAGGTTAGCAAGTATTAATACTTTGAGGTTCGCGCAGAGGCGAGTCAAATTTTCTTACTCCTGAACCACCAGATATCACTGATGACTTAAATCCTGCCACCTGAAACATTCTTATGACGTACAAGATTGCGCGTTGCAATTAATCTACCTTCAATAGGCCCAAATTAAGGGATCTGTCACCTCCGCTAGAACGCATATTGCATTTGAATAGAGCTAATCAAGCTATTGCAACCTGCTCCAATCTGTGCAGTAATACACAATGCGATCCAACTCAGAGTTACCAAAGGTGACATTTAATAATAATAATAATTTATATTTTCATATAAACATAAATTTACATGAAAATGCATGCTATTTTTACAGGCACGATCAAACATGATATAATATCAAATAGTAGATTGTCTACAAGTTAATAATGTTGAACAGTTAATATTTGATATATATATATAAATACACTAATTGTCTGACCCATGTAGTATCATTATTGAATTAAACAGTAGTCCTCCAGGTTGCGCGGGAAAATCGACTTCGTCTCGTTTTCAACCCGTAGTTTTAGGCATACGATAGCCAACCAATATTGGGGTAAGTACAACGTTTACAAGGGATAGTAAGCTGTTTTAGAAAAGTAAAGGTGCAAAGGTGAATCATTAAAGTGTTATGAAATAGGTAAATGCAATGTATCATTAATATATGCATTCATAAAGGAAATACAATGGGAGACTATAATCCCTAGGCTGACAAAGTTCATTTGCAATGTTTAATGCTATCCTATAGGTCTTACTATCATGATGTCCACTTTTGGTTTTAATACAATTATCCACAAGCCGGTTGTTTTTATTTCATACCTTTTTGTGTATTTGGTGCACAACCACTGCTTTAGTTTTTTTCTCTACTTGACTGTCATCTGGTTCCATGGTTATGTCTGGCACTGGCTATTCTGCTTTGAGATGACTTAGGAATGACGGGCCCTGGTGTCCTACTTTAAGACATTTATCTTTAAATAGCATCAAACCAGATGCGACGTCCTCAATATTCTCTTTTGAGGGCAAATATCTCCATTGAGGACCCTTTGCGACGTCACGAGTTGTCGAAAGCCAGTTCTACCGTTAATGCAGCCCAAGACTACTTTCGAGTCAGTCCAGTTTGTCACTCCTAAAAACCTATTGTCTATTTCTGAAAACAGTAAGGATCCCATGAGGGCACAAAGACGGCTGCAATCAGTTAAAACCGTGGTGTTGTTTGGACTTTATAGGGCGCCACCCTAGCTTTTACCATAATAAGACGACAACAGCCATTTCTGGG